TTTTGAGCCGCGAGCCGCCCGAAGAATGGGAAAGAGTTCGAAAGGTTCATTGTAACACGGTGTCGAAGGAATGTTGCTCCTTTTAGTTGCATCGCTCGTTCGTTTGTTTCCGATAATGCAAATACCAAAGTCAACGTTTGCGTCTAAATAATAAAAGAAAGCAGGGAAAATTCGTCTTACTGGTTTGGACGTGAAGCTCGAGTTAACATTCAAAGTAAAAGGAAGAAGCGTGAGATCGATGGATCTCAATTGATCGGCGAACAGGCTAGATACAGCCTTGTGGTTTATCGAGTTAGGGGCTTCTAAACGTGGTTGGCGGTGAAGAAAAGTTCGCCTGGATAGTCGACCAATCAGCAAATGGTGATCTCGGTTCGGACGTTAGTTCTTCCTTGTAGTACACACGATCGTACACGAGACTAGACTCACGATCGAGTTCACGGCAGTCGTGCATTCTCTCTGTTTATCGCTGTTCCACCTCCGCAAGCCTAATTACAGGGTTGTTTAGCGTTATCTAATCGATTTGCACGATCGTCTGCTGGAAAATCAAGGTAAAAACTGAATTCCGATATAAACGTCCAACGAGACCGTGCGAATTTCAATTTTAATCGTTATACTTTAATCGCGATATTTTATACCGATGTACTTGGTGACGTCGAAAGATGTTGCGCGTAAAATGAAACGAAATAAAGTGATTTCAGATTTTGCTGATCTATTGTGCCACGTGTATTGCGTTTGTGCTTGGTCGTTGGTGTCTTTTTCCGATATCTACGTATATTATATCTTTGAATACAAAATCTTTTCGTTTAGCGATTCAAAGATGAGAGCTTGATAAGAGCGTTATTTCGTGTAATTACGAAACGAATTAAGTTTATTTTGCTTGGTACGTATATCGTTGTATCGCCGCATCTCTACAACGCACATGTATATCGTGTACTGTGCCGATCTTGAATTGCATATTCCTTTACATCCTTTGGAATAGCGAAAAAACGAATAGCGATTTCCATTGAAAACAAATAAATAAATATATACGCTAAAATTATATCTGTCATAATTTACGCAAGCGTAATATTCTATAACATGTATCTTAATATAAACATTCAAAAGTTTTCAGTATAACTGTATCGAGGAAAGGCTAAATATGTATACTTGTAGTTTGAAAGTGGAAAGACAGGTTGGTTACGCGATCTATCGACGAAGCGATCGATCCTGCTCCTCCACATCGTTTCCCAACCAACTTGCAGATTCGATCGACGAAAGGATTCGCGTCGAGCACCTCCTACGAATTGCGTGGGCGTCGTTATCAGGCGGAAAGGGCCACGAACACGACTTTAAGTTAATATTGCTTCTCCGATAATGGATTAATTGCAAGTAGAACCGAGGATCAACTTCCTGCTTCGCGATATCTCTCGGCGAAAATAGAAATCGAGTACTTGCTCGTTATTACAGCAACGTAGAACTAAATCCCTGCTTAAATAAAACTACAAGTTTCTTACGGGCACGTCTCACTTTTCCAACGTATAACATGCAGTAAAAAATATCCGTGGTGGTTTAACTTTCGAAATTAGAAGATCTCTGGTTCTGAAATATTATCAAATAGACGAGTAAAAACGAGAAAACAGGGAGAAATGAATATTTCGAACAACCTCGTTTAAAGTCCACTCTTACGCTTTTACGCTTTAAACATTTGCCTGTTGAAACAACTCGGTGAAAGAATTCGCTTCACGCTCTAAAATTCCATTTCTATTCTCGATTTCAAATTACGAATTCTTTCGAAAGTACAGAAATATGCTTAGAATAGTTCAGCACACTATTCGGAAAGGGTACGATTTAAAAAAATTCACAGCTGAATGCGCGCGTTTGAATAGGTGTCTGTTTTTTGCAAGACAAGAGGGACTTGTTTGGCGAAAGGTCAAGATTCGTGACGACACCGTTATTACGCTTCCCGTTGTCGAACCACGAATTATCCGGTCACGGTCGCGTATGCGTAACATACGCTGAGCATTTTATCAGTGAAACTGGCTGGATGTTTGTATTATCTGGAGCGCGAATCGTCGTTCCTTTCCGCCTTCGTCGTGTTGCATCGTTCACGGCCCCGTGCCGTGCCGTAGACACGCGCGCCAACGTTGCTCTCTTCCGTTCTACCCTTCCGCTTAAAAAGCTAATATACAAAACTATACACAGCACAACAGTGGGAATAAAACGAAACATACGTGCATGTATGTGTTGAGAAACTTGGGTTACACCAAAGTAATTCGTAAAGTTAATTATTCAAATTTTTTTGAACTATTTTATGGAAGGAGACCATAGAACTATATGCGATTAAGCGTAATTTCATTTCACTACAGGGTAACGACCCGAAATATCGTTTCTCGGTACAGGGCTGACAATTACCACAAAACATAGCTACAAATTTCTTACAAGTCGTTACGTTCTTTCATGGTCACGCAGCATGCGTCATTTATCTTAGATGTTTGCGCCTGCTTCCACCATACATTCTTCAATTCTCTATGCACCCTTAAATTCCAATTCCAATTACAATTTCTTTACAAGATTACGAGTCGGTATAATCATTTGGAAAACACGATCAAACTACAGATAATGCTACATATAATGATTCCGTTTTACACGAGAGCCTACGTTTCATCCCATATTACACGTTGCAGCTTACAGCAGGATGAACCGATTGTTTTCTTATCTGAAACTCCCAAGGGAACGTTTCTATAGCAGCGTCGAATGTTTTCATTGCAAATATGGAGCGGCCATCATCCAAGATCGACCACACGTTCTCACGTAGGACGAAATAAACCGACCAATGCGAAAAACGAATATTCGGATAAACGTTGTTCCACGATATTCAAATACCGTCACTTGCTAAAGCATCAAAATCAGAAAATAAAAGTTCAAACATTCTGCTGCATACTATGTATATTTGTTTGGAATCTGGTAAAAGGTCGATCGATAATTTATCGACGTATTCACACGTTTACGAACAAGTGCATGTAACTTGGCTAAAATTCATACGTAATTTACATCAGGTTCTTTCAATTAAGGATACTAATGTTGAACATTTTCGTTCGAGTTTGCTATATTCGTTTCTTTTTACACGAGCACAGATACATACGTATAACGAGGAACGTATTATTATCATCGTATAGAGATCAACTCGTTTGTAGATTTTTTAAAAACTCGATGCTCTTGTAACCTTTGCATCCTATATCGATTGCATTCTAGCGTCACAAAAACGAATAAAGTATCGATAAAGTTACTATAGCGTATAAGTATTTCCAAATATAAAAGCAGATAAAACGAATTACAATGTAAAAAGTACCGAAAAAAAAGTTAAAATGTAGCTACTTGAATCGTTTGTAAAAATCCTATTCCACGATGGAATAGTGAACAACTACGACATAACTTGCTTGGGATAATTTAACGATGAATCTATCGAAAAATGTAAAACAATTTACATTTCTGCAAGTTCGTATAGCAAGTTAAATCGGCCTATTAATAACGCGTTAATAAATATGCTGATAATACCGATGAAATATGTAAATGTATAAAATAAAAAATAGGATTGAGAAAAATAAGATCGAAGGATGTGAGAATTATCGGAAAATGAAGCTCGTTCGTCACGAGTCACGACACGCCCACGCGCGCGCGGACAAGCGTGACACGTATTAAGAGATACGTTCAGCAGCTTCTAATCGCGCCGCTCATCTGGCTCGAGTTCCTTCACCCTGACCGTGCACTTGACTTGGCTGGAAGGTGATCCGGATTCTTTGGCTTTTTTCCATCGGCCCGACTCTTTCCTCCGCTATCGCTCCTTCGAAAATCAACTTTATTCGAAAATAACTTTTCCATTTTATAACGATATTGTTAAATGTACGAACCTCACGGATAACATCTATTACACGCTGTTCGAACTTTTGCGCCAATGTTTTCGCCAAGTTCTTCCCCTCGCCGTTCCTTTAGATAGCCACGCAGTAAGTAATCGAGAGCCGAAATGTAATTCCACAGAGTAAATCTCTTACGTCTCAGCTCTAACATATACAAAGCGTAAACATGAAATCAAACGAACAAGCGAGTACGACGATACGCGGTCAGACATCTGAAAAGTCAGACTGATAACTAACACTGTTACAAACTTATTTATCGCGATAAAGTGACACAAGGGATGGAAAATGCCAATGTAAATTGTACTTAACTGTTTCTACGATACCTTTTACTGGTTTCCGATTTCGATTCTACTTTCTCTAACTTGATAAATTTTACTTGATAAAATTATACAAAATGTTTATATTTAATATAAAAGTATGTTGGATAATAGTCTCTCGTCTCTCCCTATCCTGCAACGACTGGATGGAAAACGGTCCACGGAATTCATCGAGAAACTAGGAAGAAAGGGACTGGGAAGATGTTCGTAGTTAGCCGGGGCTAATCCGACGTTTCATTGGACACGCGCGCTGCTTTAATGCTGTAATATATTCCGGATAATGAGAAGCTGAATAGCGTTCAAGGCCAAGGGTATACGGCGCATTTCCCACGATGAACAACGGTGACCGTGACAAACGCGCCACTACGTTTTCATCATTGCGCCGCGCCGTCCAGGGAATCCTTCCTGATTCGATACGCTAAAAACAAGCAAACGCGATAATCTGCTGCTATTTTCCAATCGGTCGACGACATGTTTTGCAGAGTGCGATAATTTATCAGTTAGTTTACACGTTTACTATATCGCTTTAAACCAGCTCTATATTGGCTAGTTTTTCGCGTTTAGTTTGTAATTTTTAAATACTTTACGCGCATCTTGCCCGAGATTATATTTCGATCGAGTCTTAATTTTCGTTATTCGATCAGCCGATCGTTAACGAGACAATCCTATAATTTCATACGTATAACAGGCCGGTTATTCAACAGCTCGTTGAATTTTATCTAAATATCCGAATATTTTTTCCCCTCTTGAGATTTCTGTCGGGAGTAGAAAGATAAAAAAGCCATTTTTAATTTTTTCATTTTCTTTTTCTTTAACTCATAAATACAAAATGTTTGAAACTGGAAAACTTTCCAATTCGTCCAAATTGCGACATAAGCTCGTTCGAAAGATGTAGACAAGGGATGCGAAGAATCAGAAAGCAGGAACGAAAAACTATTTTACGCACGAGAAATCATTTTTATTGTCAATCACGAAGAACGATCGATCGTTAAAGTGATTCCCAACGCTAAATAGAGCGAAAAGGCGACAAAGTGTAAAGAAACGCAGTAGGCGCCGGTAGAATCAGTCATAGATCGATCGTCGATCCACACTCTCGCTTTCTGTTCGCCAGTACCGATGACCGATCTAATTTCTACTCGTTTCGCGGATCAGTTCGTTTCGATCAACACCTTTTTCCTACTTCATCCATTTTGACGAAGAATCTAACGAAGATAAATCGGTACAACATTGACAACGGGATGAAGCTGAGCAATGGGTGTAGCCTTAACTAGCCACGCAGGTTCGATATTCACCTTGGAATCGCCATGAATCTGACTGATCCCATGACTGGAAACGGATGTAGTAACCGTAGCTGTAGCCAGATCAGCTTCCTTGGTAATTGGTATCACAGAAACAGCCTCTTTAACGATTCCAGCAGTAGTAATTGGTACGTTCTTCTTCTCCACAGCTACAGGAATACTTTCTTTAGCAACAACGTTTGGAATACCGGGGATAGCTACATCTCCGTCGGTGATTTTCCATGGTCCATGAATCTGAGTGACACCGTGATTAGAGATGGACGTGGTTACGGACGCGGTGCCAATTTCAGCAGCTGGGATAACAGGTATAGATTGCTCGGCGATGACAGGCACCGCAGCAACAGTTCCCCTAGAAACGATGGTAGAAGCAATATGATTAGCCGGCGGAGAAGATCGGACGATGGTCAGTGGCTCTGGGTTTATCTTAACCGCATTTTTCGTCCTGGGCCCCTCGATTCCCAACTGCTTGTGCAATTCTATGCGGTTCTCGTGATAGGTAGGCGCGCGAGCGAGCACTGGCAACCCTTCCAATATGGTCTGCACCGGCAGGATCGGCTTCAGGTCAACCGGTTTCGCCTTGGCCTCGCCTTCCGCCACGTCCAACCGCGCGCTGCTATGCACTTGAACTTGACTCTGATGCGAGGTCGCCAGCGGAATGCCGTTGCTCAACAACAGAGGTTGCGACACAATCTGTGACGAATCTTGCGCGACATCCTTATCCTTATCGAAATTCTCAGATTGTCCATTCCGATTAGCATTATTTTCATTAGAATCCAGGTTTGAATCCTCCAAGCTACGTCTTCTGCGACTAAACGTCGAAGATGCTTTGCCTGCGCTCCTAGCGAGGATGATGTGAGTCGTTTCGCTGTTGGAATTTTCATCCGAAGGAATATTCGTCGCGGCTACACGGAATCCGTTCTCATCAGCGACGTAGAAGGCTGATTGAAGAATTCCATTGGCGTCCACATAGCTATAGGAACCACGGACAATTCCATCGGCATCTTTGATTTCTTCTTTCGCGGATGGCCCACCAGCGTAGCTGTAAGCATGTTCACCTGTCCTCGTGTTCTGGAAATGGTTGAATACTGGAACAGGGGTGGACAAGTACGCGTACGGGACCAGGTTCAGACGCGCTCCTGAAGCTAGGCTCAGAGCCAGCATCAGCGGAATCTGAAAAGAAAACAACGGTGAATGATCAGCGGAGAAAATCGGAATATTTTATCGGAATAATTTACTTAATTAATAATATTCGATTACTCGCAGTTGAATTTTCTCGCTCTCTCTCTAATAAAGCACAATAATTCAAATTTCTCGAAATTATTTTGTATTGGCAACTGAAAATATCTACGTTTGTAGAGATTCACAACGTATCGTACACAACGACAGCGGTCGTTTGACTTTCAACAACGTAATCATCAAAACGATCGTGACCAGTACAAGTACTCGCTTTCTAATAGGTGTTCGAGTTTGGCTTAATTACAAAAAGACATAGCAGTCCGTTTAATCAAATTAACTTGCAAGACTGCAAGTCTTATTACTTATTTTTATAGTTGAGTGTTCAGATATGCGTACTATTATATTATAATTGCCCATGCGTTAGCAGAATTATGTAACATATAGCAGGGTTCCAAAAGATTTGAAAATTTCTATTTCATAAGCGAAGAAAATTTTCACCAGTGATAAGGAAAATCTGAGAATTAGCATTACATACTGGACGAATTTTAACGTCTATCTGCTTTAACGTCTAACAAGCAACTGCGATTAGACAGAAAAAATTAAATCTTCTGAATAACTAAGTATTGATCATTAAAAAACAGAAAAAAGTATTAATAATTAAGGGATAATAATTAATATTCGTAACATTATTCGTCGGTCACAATAATTACGGTAAGGAATAATAACCAGTTGATAACAGAAATCAGAATTTCTATAACGTTGTTCTCATATCAACGATCTGATATCTAAAAACATGTTCCACTCCTATTCAACGAATGAATAGAAAGATATCAGAAGCGAAAAGCTACAAAACCTCTATCCTCGCGTCGTTGATCTTCGTATTACGATACCCAATTACCGTAACTCTCGACGAAAATCCAAATAATACAATTTCCCAATAACAAACTAGCTCAGCCCTCGTAAAAAACCATTCTCTATCCTCGAGCCTCTCTTTAGAAAATTTCAACGCTCTCATATTTAATCGCCGGATTAATCTGATCTACCTAATTCATCGAATTAATAATAACTTAATCGATCATTCGCCTAACAAAAGATTAGAAGATAATAAGAGGGTGTCACTTACCAGTGATTGCATCGTGCGATCGGTTAGCGTATTCCCTGTGCGAACCTCCTTGCTCTACGAGGGACTGTTCAGGCTGTGCACCTTGCTTCCGATCTGGTTTTGACTTATATACACAGAGGCAGAGGGGAAGACCGAGTCGGCGCGGCGCGACGGTGTCTTCGAACCAGGAACCAGCGGAATCGTCGAAGGACAGGCGGATCCGTTCACCGAATCCCTCGATCCGGAATCCGGCATCTTTCGCCACGCCCTCCGCTTCTTCTTCTTCTTCTTCTTCTTCTTCCTCTTCTGCATCAATTGCCCGTTTATTTGCTCGCGTCTCGTTTTCTCATCGCTTCGGCCAAGGACTAGATCCGCGTTTTCTGTAATGGGATACCGGAGACTGCGGATACCAATGCTTTGCTCGATTGTTTGTCGAAAAGAATGGAATTTGTTTGAGATCATCCTTTAAAAATTGTATGAAAGAAATTGAAAAAGAAAAGTGAAAGTGACGCAAACATGTACATACTGCAAGCAGAAAAACATTTTATCTAGAAAACTCCTAAGAGAAAAATTACAAACTGGTTATACTATTTACTTTGGTGGTTCTAGCGTTAAAAGAAAAGTCAATATTTTGCTATATATTATATTTTAATTCTAGCGCGAGTGTTAGATTAGAATATTTTAGAAAAGTAGCTTGTTACCCAATCCGTTTCACACTTTTACCTATTCTTGGATTTATCTTACTCCAACACTATAAGTAGAGTACTTTTTTAAACAGTTTCATCAAGTACGTATACAAGCTACTTTATGTATCGATAGCTTCTTGAATTGATAGCTTTCTAAACGTAATAGGACACATAATAACATTTCTCGATGGCTCTCGTCTTTGCTATCTTCTGCTATCTTACAGCACGATAAAATTGTTCGGCTACCGCGGCCTTTTCCCCGGTTATCCGGGAATCCTCCCTTGTCGCGATAAAGTCGCCATGCCAAGGCTACTACTCACAATGACCCGGACGTGGCCAGACAAATGATCGAACGAACCCGATTGTCCTGTGCTGCGTATCGCGAGCATCCTGGCTCTGAAGCGTAATGGCAACAACGTGTCCGAGAAATTATTTGTCAGTGTCAACGACGACACGCAGCAAAGGCAAGTAGAATGCTTCGTTGTACTTTTGCTGTAGTGAATTGCAATTGCAGCTAAGTTGCAGAAATGGATCCCCGATTCTCGGGTTCTGCGTAGTACGACCTTTTCCTTGACCTTTTCATCTGTTTTTTTCCAGTTCGAAGATTCATAGTAGTATCTTTAAGTAGTTGTACAATTATTTATAGGAAGATCGATTTATAGAAAGATCGACAACTTTAAGAGTGGTAGAAAACCAAAATTTTGAACGAATTTTGAACGTTTTTCTCGCTAAATCGCTAGTAATAGGAATTATCGCCTTCTCTAATCCTCTTAATTACTCCGCTAATTTCTTCGTTTTTTAAGGTGTCTTGAAGTATTTCAAGTTCCACGTATATCTTACGTTTACGTTAGTAAAGCTACGTTATACAGACTGTTTCAAAATAATAATTAAATATTTTAAATTAAACGAAGAAAGCGGTAAAATCTCAATCTTGTTTTAATGTTAATTAAAGAGAACATTGTCGACGAAGAATGATTCAATTTGTATCGGAAAACAGAGCCTGCTCTCTTGAACGTCTCTCAGCGTGCCAGGTCTCTCAAGGAAATTTCTCGCTGTTAATCATCGTTCGATGGAAAATCAGCATGAAACTTCATCGAATCATAGGCGATGCTGGTCGCTGTGTCGCTGTAGAACCCTCCGATATCGAGTCTCGTTCGTCTTCATGGCTGTTTGTTCTCCAGCTACCGAGAATCGCCAAGCACGCACGTAGGAAGTGACAACGCTCCCGCGTAGGCGAGTTACGTTCGGCAAAATCGCGAACAATCGGAGGATAGATACCTGTGTACGCGAGAAACCCCAACTATCTGGCGAAAAGAAGATAAACGAGGAAAAATAGTGGAACGATGTAGAAGCGTAATGATCGTAGATAGACGCTCGAACCAAAATAGAAACTAACGCAAGGTAGCTTGGTACGTCAACTTATTTATCGTCAATTTTGTTCATCAAAGAGTGACTGAAAAGTAGAAAATATGTTCAAATAAAGAACATTCGAACACATAGAAATTATGTCTCCAAATTTAAAGATTTTATATTATTGTAATTATCGGAAGAACTGTATTGTATAGTGTATCACGAAAACAACTACTCGTTCGTTTCTTCTTACCCGTTCTTTTTATAATACAATCTACTCGACAAAGGACCATGCATAACTACATATATACCTCAACGGAACAACTTTTAAAGTAATTTTATTAAAACATTCCACTCTAACTTATTTTACCAAATCATTGATACCCTATATACGATTTTATACAAATTTCTAGTACAAAATTACTTTTCATCCTATTCGTTAATCATTATTAATTTACAAATATTTCAAAAGTTGCCCGTTCTTATTGTTTCTAAGAGAATTATATAAGTATATATATAACATTATGACTAATGTAACGCCTATATGATGTTACAACAGTGCAAACGTAGTTAAGAATTCCAACAAGACGCTGCGGCCAGTATAACGTTTTCAAAAAAAAAAGAAAAAAGGATACTAAAAGTTACTCGGACCACGCCTACGCTACGCTCTTCGAGATCCGGCCACACATTTGCGGAGGTCGACTGATGTCGTAAACAACATAAACATAATACTAATGGACCACACCCGACGTACAAACGCATGTACACGTACGCAGAAGACAGTCAGATAACATAATGAGGGCCTCGTCACGGCATCAATCTTCGTGACAACTGGAAAATATGAAGTAAAAGAAATGAAGACAAAGTAATAATCGGCCTGTCGGTAACTCTGCCGATTGAAATAAATCTTGTCAAATATTGTTTATTTTATTAGTGGATAGATGATCGCGGCTCGCGAAACAATAATGCGCCGATATTGTATGGTATATAGATACAAAATTAAAGAAATGAAAATAATTCTAGAAAGAACGTTAATGACATATTTAGACGAAGCAGTTCTGTTTCAATTTTAGTTACAATAAATTGTACTACTAGATGCATAATTTAAATTTCTTCCGGCTCGATTCGCAAATGTAACACTTCTAGGCCTCTGATCACAGTCATTCTCAAAATCCTGGACGATTCTATGGCTTTGTAGATACTGGCGGATGATTCCACTTCTTCGTCATTCACATGCGTCACGATATCACCAGCTTGTAAACCTCCCCTGAAATTTTTACACAAACATATGTTCTTTCTGTATAGAATAGTTGCTCTTAACGGTACAACGAGTACAACGACAGTAATGATTTCTTAAACATACAAGTGTGCTGGCGACCCTACAATGACTTTATAAATCATAACTCCATATCTGATGTTGTGTGGAATTCCTTTCAACTTTTTTTGCAATTCGTAGAAAAGATCCGGGGTAAGGGTGAGCATTGTAACCCCGATATATTGAGTTTTTGGTTTCTCTGCGGCAAACTGTGTACCTAATATAATATGATCTCGTTTTAAAATTTTCGTCTTAAATATTTCTATTTCGCGCTTTCCTATTGTCGAGTATTATATACCTTTGCCTTTCCTGCGCATTTCTGCTTTTTTCAAAAAGTCTTTAGCATAGTCTATGGGTATCGCAAAAGAAATGCCAGATGTCACCTTCATTGCATTTATACCAATCGCTTCTGCATCTAAATTAACCAATGGACCACCTGAATTGCCAAACTGAAGCACAACATTTTTAATACGAAAATATTTCATAGAAATTACAATGCTGATGAAAAACTAACAGTGATTGCCGCATCTGTTTGTATATAGGCCATCTGTTTGTTAAGAAGGCCAAGTTCCTGGCTATGCCTGCTTACACTGCTTATTACACCACTCGTTATTGTGTTACTTAAAGCTAATGGGGATCCAATAGCCACTACAAATTCTCCTGGCCTAAGATTTGTTGAAGAACCGAGCCTCATTACCGGTAAGTTCTTCTGTACAAAAAATAGACAATTGCGATGTCAAAATATGAAATTACGTACACTTTTTTTATCATATAGAAGATGTATAAACCTTGTTAATTCGCACAGTTGCAAGATCACTGTGCACATCGATGTCTTCCACGACACCGGTATAAGTAGTTCCATCGTAAAGACGTACCTGTAAAATAGATTGCATGAAAATTTCTGAAAGAACACGTACGATATTAATGCCTGTAATACAACAATAACTATCCGATATATCGCAACAGTTACCTTGACGGTTGTGTTAGGCTTAGCAGTAACAACATGAGCATTTGTCAATATCAAACCATCTGATTCAACGATGAAACCAGATCCATTGCTTATGTTGAACGGTTTACCTGTTTGAAAATCAAATCTATTTTCCCATTAATGATTACTGGAAATTACGATTACTTATGTTACAGTTATCTTCTTACAGATTGAAATCTGCATTTACCTTTTGTTGTTTTGGATTTCAATGTACACTACTGCAGGAGCTGATTTCTCAACCACGTCAGCTATAAAATTATACCTACTTCTATTGTCATTTCCATCCCAAGAAACTGGTTTAGCATGTATCGTGAACATCGGATTTATCAGGTTGCTGAGTCGGTCCTGACAACCCTCTTTCCATTTGTACAAAATATAACCAAAACCGGAGAAGAAAATAGTGTAAAACAAGACATTTCTAATTGTTTTGTCAGAAATTCGCGACCTCTGATCTTGCGTGTACGAATGTTTGTATTGTGTAAAACGATCCACAAACGAAATTGTTAAGAGTTGTTTATACTGGAACTGATTTCTTTTTAAAACGGACCAAGATGTACGTGTCAGGGGGGCAGCCATTTTTTGACTTCCAGCCAATAGTAGCTGAGTGTTTCAGTTGTATTGTTCAATGCCAAATACCAATCCCGCGAAAGTCGATTTCTAAATGAAAATGTATCAAACAAAAATATTAGTTACCCTCATAAAAATTATGAATGATATTCAATTCCTACAGAAATAAACTGAATCTTTTTACCTAAAGTATTATACTTATAGTATAATACTCAAATTCGAAAGATTATCGTAGAAACGATAACAGTATTTGTAATCGCAATATCATAATGTAGCTCATATTTTCCTTCGGCTATATGATCTGCTCGGATCATTAAAAAAATCATACAAACAAATCATATAAACACATATTTTCTTGAACAAGTTTCTTTTATTGAAGTATATGCACATATATTACATCAATAAGAAATCTTATGTACAATACAGAGAAAATGATTTGTAACATCCGTTTATGATAATCGTACTATGTTTGTTGTTTCTTTGTTCTTTTCTTTCTACTTACAACGCCGTTTGGCTTACTCTGTAACTTTTTAATTTTTTTATGCATCTTTAACAGTTGAGACTTCGAAGCTTTTACTTCAAACTCTGTTGTTACTTTTCTCTTCGTTCCTTTTTTCTCCGAACTTTCCGCTGCTTTTTTAATATTTTCAATTATTGGTTCTTTCTTCTTTTCTCCGGATTCAGGCGAATCGTTTACTTTCTTCTTTTTAACGTTGTTGATCACCTCTTTTTCGTCACTAGCCTTGCGTTTTTCAGTTTTCTTAGTCTCCGCCACTGTGTCTGCATGAATTTCTTCACTCGTATCACATTCTTTCTCAGTATGACCTACAAATAATAAAACAAGTCTCATATATAATTCCATTACGTTCGTTACAAAAATAAAAATTACATACCAGCTTCATTACACTTTAAACATTTTCCGGTAACTTTCGGCTTTTGGCCACATAAATGTTTCGTTACGACACATCTTTTACATGTTATGCAATGTTTCCAATAAGGTTTTACACATCGTTTGCATATATCACAGTGTTTATATGTGAGGCCATTTTTCGAGGTACACTCTTGACATTTTTTGCAATGCTTATTCTCTTTAGCAACCCACTTCTGACATTTTTTACAATATCTATAACCATTCGATTTTGGAAGTTCAACTAAGTTCAACGGTACATTTGTAAAAATTCTAATAGGCGACGGTGACTTTGTAGCATTGGAGTCTGTTATAAATAACGGATGATTATCATAAGATACTTTGTAATCAGTCATTTTCAGGTCCTTCAGACCTCCTGGTACACCAGGTGGATTACTCTTTTGTTTCATTATAGATTCCATAAAATATGGGAATATGAACATAATTCTTAAACAATTCTCTTCATCCTCTATGTTATTCCACTTTTTATGAAGATCAGAGATTCTTTTTATAGTCCAAGACATTGGTTCCACCCTACTACCAAATGGTGGATCGCATACTAAGTATGTGCCCTTTCCCCCACCTTGCATAAGAAAGTCTTTAAACACATGGACAGCGGTTTCATTAAAAAAATGATTATTTAACAGATTATACCAACAATAATTGAGTGGTCCAAAAAAATTATGCTACAAGTAAAAAAAAAAGCACAGTATTAAGCTTATACAGTTTGTTTAGACATTACTGCCATAATTTCACAAATTTCTTAACAAACTTACGAATCTTCCATCAAAATCCAATAAAAGCGTGGACATTGTGTCTTCGTGATTTTCTAGAATATATTCATGAATTTTCGGAGTACCGATACAAAGAATTTGCTTTGCTCCTAATTTCACAAGTATATTTGCTATGTCCTCTGTTGATTGTTTTGTGAAGAAATACTGAGCTTCTTGCCTAGAATTTTCTAATGGTTTTAAAATTTCTGTTGGATGCCTTATCTGATAATCTGTAAGACCTTCTCTTATATCATGATTTTTGTGTTTTTTCATCACATCTTTCTCAGTTTTAGATATCAATTGTTCACAAGTATAACAATAACACCTGCTCTCAGGTGGTACCGACATTATATCATTAAAACGTACATATAATTGCCTGTGATGATAACGAGACATAAACTGTTTCCTCTCTTGTTCCCATTTAGCCGCTTGATGTTTTGTTAATTTTTCTCCCTCTCTTAAATAAAACTTACACATCTTTCTCTCGCGGCAAGCTGCACATACATAAAACTTCTTCAATTTGCCATTTTCATGCGTGCCAAATAATAAAGTTGGTCCTGCATAAACAGAATATCATAGTATAATCTTATAAAAATATTTTTTCTACAATTTCGCGCTATTACTTTATAATATAAGAAATCTTAACGAAAAATCACCATGTGGACATTGAGGATGTTTACTCAAGTCGGACCAAAAGCATTCCATGCTCGATATTTATCAAAATTATAGTTGCGGAGCAATTTAAAAACGTTTATTCGCGTCAATATCTGTTATAAGAAGAAAGATTAACCATGCTTGCTTGCGTAAATATTTATTTATTACACAATAAAATATTTATTTGTAAGAGTTGTCATCTCAGAAACCATGCGCGAAGCATTTGCTCACGTGAAAACAAAATATACCATGTGGTTTGCATAGCAACAGCAACATGAAGTTAATCGATTGTCGACTCAATTCGAGTGCCGCTTACGATTATCGAAATTATTTTAAACGCAGCGTCTTTCGCGAATAGTTCAAATGAATTTGGCTAATGATCGCTAGTAGTATATGTGATGAATCACTTTTTGGAGAATTGATTATAAAGTTGGATTAAAGAAAGGACCCGGATTGTCTAGATTAATGCAGAATACATGCTACTTCAATGTACGTATAAAATTACGAAGAAATTGTTTTATTTTAAATAGAAAAATTATTTCATTCGACGTGGAATAAGATATTGAGTATACATGGCTATTGTCCGTGACCTAATAATTTAATTGCTGAATGATTTTTTTTTAATTTTCCCTTTATATTAAGGACAGAGTTTAAACGAAAATTACAGTTTAACAAATCATAATATATTTAGAAAAATATTTTTTTAATACTTAAAAGAGTTTCACTTTAAGTGGAATAAAAAGGCGTTAGTTCGAGTTATTTATATTTTATTATAACATTTTTTCTACAATTGCTATGGTGTTTGCTGTATCACATACACGCACACACATACAGGCTGTTTCGTTTAACCGAAAATGGTAGAATATCTCACGAGAGGTTAAAGTTATCAAAAAAATGTTTTGACAAAGGTTACTTGGTTCGAAGGGGGGACAGCATGTGGTCTAGATTATCTTTTGCACATCGAGTAATACGGAAGATTTTAAAGTCAACTTCACTGTTTTAAATGGAACTATATATTTTTTAATAATACAGTAATCTCGACATTCCTTATAAAAAGGTATTTTGTTTCTCCTTGTCTCTCATACGTTAATTTTTACAAATTAAAGTCAACATCCATAAACATCTTATAAATTAATAGTTTTCCAATGTAACTAAGCTAATACTTTTCTTATAGGAAATTCCGAGATGGATCGATTAATGTATTATGAAATACACGGTTCCATTTAAAATAATGAACTACTCCACTAGTCCACACGCAAAAATGTAATTTGCACCATAGAATGCCCATTTTTGCTAAAACAATTTTTTGATAACTTTAATCCTTCGTGAGACATTCTACCCTTTTTAGTTAAACAAAATATTCTGTATACGTTTATATGTATGTATTACATATACATAAGGCAATTTAAGCCTCTACAGGCTATATAAATATCTTCGTGCGTTGTTTTGTCATGATTGTTTGTAATGTCCTGTCATAAAAATACAGATAATAATATATTATATTACAATATTTGAATGTCTAATTTCAATTGGACCATAGGTATATACGTATTAATACGAAAAAGGGAACAAAAAAATATATAAATTTTCCATTTCCATCAGTAATTCTTTTCTTTCTAATACTGTATCGATAAATAAATATCTCGTGGATCGTTAAAATTATATTAAAAATAAGCTGGTCTATGTATATATACATAGAATTAATAAATCAGAATAAGATTCGCGTGTTGAATTTTGTTAGAACAAGTGAAAACAGTTTTGTCTTTTATATTCGTTTTAAAGCATCTCTAAAGAATCTACAGAATCGACACATCCTTATATTTTCACGATTTTCTTTTTGTTTTTCTTTTCTTTCCCTTTTTCCTTTTTTTCTTCTAATCATTTTAGGCTGTGTTCATTCTGCTAGATTATATATCACAGACTATCCGTTTGCAGTTGGGAAAAAACATTCACTAAAAAAACTCTTACCTTGTAATACTTCTACTAACGTGTCAGTGCAACTATGAATATTATTACACTAAATTGAATTATTCGTATGTACACACAAGGAAATAGCCACCTAGATTTGTAACTCGTGTTATTTGGTCTATATATACATATATTATATATATACAGGGTGGTTGGTAACTGTTGGTACAAGCGGAAAGGGGGTGATTCTACGCGAAAAAAGAAGTCGAAAATATAGAATAAAAATTTTTCGTTTGAGGCTTTGTTTTCGAGAAAATCGACTGTGAATTTTCGCTCAGTACGCATGCGGTACGTTATAATGGATCTCACTGTAGATCGTTGTCTCTATGGAAAAATTAAAAAAAAAAATTTTTTTTTTTTAATTTTTTATTCTATATTTTCGACTTCTTTTTTCGCGTAGAATCACCCCCTTTCCGCTTGTACTATCAGTTACCAACCACCCTGTATATATATATATATATAAATCATCGTACATAGATTAGTATTAAATAACAACGTGTACCTGCTTTTGCTTTATCGTCTACATATCCATATATATGCAACTCTCCCTCCTATTATTTATTAAATGTAATATACATAATACTGCAAATGTGCATGTATATGAATACTATGATCGTTCCTTTTTTCTGGAACGACTTGTATGTTTCAATTGTTATGAAATTATATACAGAAAAAAAGCACTTTTTCCTTTCCTTTCTATATCCAAAATAATTCTTGAACTTAATCATATTTGGAATTGTAAGAGTTTACCCACTGTTATCGTCGAATGTCTACGTCTAGACTTTATAATAATTAATAATTACTAGGTTTTTGCACATCAAAACGTCTTTCCCAAATTTATCTTGCTGTTACATTTTAATCAGCAATCACAACGTTGTTTCATTAAACTGCTAATGTTAAGTAATTCTTCGTATATATGTACATAATTGACTACAAAGCTTCTTCATTTAACTTACTGCATAAACAGATTTTCGGTTTACGAATGTTTACAAGTCATCACACAAACGTTGTTTGCACACGTGGCTCCAGAAATGTAGAAAACGGAAAGTCTACGACATATATTACAAATAAATAAAACCATTAAAAAATTTGTTTATGCAGCAGGCGTTAAGGCTTCAAAGAATGCTGGGATTAAATTTCATTGTATAAGCACGTACGTGTCTTTTCCTTTTTTTTTCCTTTTTTTTCTTTTTTTTTTTTTTTTTTTTTTTTTTTTTTTTTTTTTTTTTTTGATAAATTCACAATCTCTAATGTCTAAATGCAATACTAGGAGTCGTTTGGTAAAATCCATAAAAAGGCTATCGCGATGAAAATTTCGTATAAATACGCCGGAAGCATATTGAAAATAGGTAACAATCAGTTCGTGTAGGCTTTCATCGATGTAGAGTAATAGAAAATTTGTTTGTAAGTAGATACGCACAAATAGATTTGATGCAGATTAAATATTGACCACATTGTACTCTGGAAAGTAATTTGTGAGTTTCTCCACGCGTAAGAATATATAGAGAGTATCTTATCGATTAATCGTCTCATGTTTCTTTTGCACGAAGCTTTTATTAGCAGGATGGCAATAATTGAGGTTTAAGAAATAATGGAAAATATTCAGACACGCGCACCGAGATGTTCGAACCGATTCTCTGAATTAAAAGATGCTAACAAATAACAAAATGATTATTTAAAAATCCTTTATGCAAAAGTGTCTCTAAATTATGTGGGTTTTAATTGTTTACTCGCTACTAGACATTCAGACTTCGAACTATGTTCGAAAAGTTATAAAGCTATTAGCTTGGATTGACATGAACCCCATCTCTCTTGCAATTTTCGTTGCTGTTCTACGTGATGATCTGAGAGATTTCTCTGTAATCCTACCTGTCCTGTCTTTAGCTTTCTAGGATCCAAATTTGCCCCTAAAGTCTGCACACCTTTAGCGAATTTTGAGAAAGGTGACAAGATATCTTTGGAAGTAGATGCCACAGGACTCGCTGCATTTATTATGTTAGTCTTCATTGACTTCAAAGCAGACTCACTCTGAGAAGATGTAATATTTAGACTTAAATCTTGCTCAGATGTGGACCTTTTCTTATCCTGCAATCTATTCTCAGTCTGCAATTTGCTTCCATTTATATTGCTGAGTGTCAGCTTACTATCAACCTCTCCAGTCGAATGACTGATGTTTTTGGACAGATTCAATGTTAATGGTGGCAGCATCCTTTCTTTGTCCTCAGTTACATTTTGTATAGTTATTTCAGGCGTCTTTTGAGGAGAAGCACTAAGAGTACTAGTACCAGAGCCAGATTCTGGCACGCGTAAGACTTCCTTATCGGAAGTCTGTTCAGAGAATTTATTAGGTCGTATAGAAAAATCTTGGTCTTCATTATTCTCACGAGGCTCCACTACGTCCGTGTTTTTAACACCCATTATGATACCAATAGATGGAGTATACGCTTCCATTAGATTCTTATTGTGACTGAAATTTTCTGGTTTTTCGAAAGGAACAGGAGGAACGTCAATGTCCTCGTCGTCACTACTGCTACTGCCACTGCTACGTTTCCCTTGCGCATTGCCTGAGATGTCTCTATTCCCAACGGTGAATGTCGGTTTCAAAGGTGCTTCAGACCTTCTACCTATGCTTCTTGCTATGTCAATTGGTTTCCTAGCGCTAAAGCTATGACTTAACTTATTTAGTTTACTAAATTGCTCCGTCATGTTGCTTAAAGCTTTCGTTCCTACAATTACATAACGCATTTTGCAATTATTGCTAGTTATTACTTCAATGTTTACTTTAAATATATATTTATAAATAAAATCTAATCTAGTTTAATTAACAATTATTAATTGTTCGAAAGCCAGATTCTTTTGTTAGGAACGTACCTGCGCTTTTAAGAGCTAGTAACTGTGTCTCTGAAACATTTCTAGTCAATTCTGGGAATGACGAAATGTCCAGTAGACCCGTGGTTCCCCTGTTATTCACTATTTTACTCTTTCGTCTATCTAACGTGACATTCATTGCTATAGGAATCTTTGGTAAACCGGCTATCTCCATCGCCACAGAGATAGCCTCGCAAATTGATCTTAAAGACTCTGAAATATACGAATTAACGTAGTAGCCAAAATTAATTGTCATAGATCCAGATATGAATATGGTAGATCATATTTGAAATTATATCCTACCTATACTTTCTTCCTCTGTCTTTATAACAACAGCCATGTTATTGAAAAATCGTAAATTTGTACTGCGGAACATGTGAAAGTAACCGTACTCGTTGGCCATTTTGTAATTTATTCTAATGCAGTGGAAATGCTTATTTTTAAAAAGGGAGACAGTGCTCTCTGGCTGGCCAAACTCGATCAGTATAATGTCTTCGAGTGGAACTCTTTGGTAATTTGTGACTTTGTCGATTTGATCGTCATAATCAGCTACATAATAACTATCCCGTGTTAATATTAGAATAGTGTCCATTTCTGTCTCTGTTAAGTCACCAGTTCTGTTAAAATGGAATAAATTATAAGAGAAAACAATCCTTATGTATTATAAAAATGAAAAAGAAAGAAAAAAGAAGAAACAAATAGAAAGCTGAACATCTAACATACACAGGGTCAGCGTCTATGAGACCCCAACTGCCTAAAATAACTTCTGGATCGGGTATAAGTAGCTTCTTGCAATCCTCTATCAGCAATTTTACATGAATCGCTGTAGCAGCATTATCTTCTTCTTCTGTACGCTCTTGAAATACTTCTTCGTTCACCGAGTTTCCTAACATCATATCGATCGTGGCCTGCCTATAGACATCCTTGAAGCGATTTAAATAGTATCTGGAAGTACACGGGTCTCCTAAACACTTGCTTTAAAGCTACATAAAAAAGTAAAACAGAATTGAAATAAAAAATGATGATAGGACACTGTCATAAAGGGAGCAGGAGTTCCACTCAGGATTATTAAGATAAACTGAAAAGCAACCCACCATGCAAAAAAAAAAAAGAAAATTCAACATAACGTCAAACTGATTATAACGTATGGAGTCACAGTTCGAGTTTAAAATATCGTCTTGTATCGTCTTTTTTTATAAAGCAACAACTGGTTTATTGTTTTCAAAATAACACACTTTATTTATTGCTCGAGCGAAAAACTTTCAACCCAAAGCCAAGAACGAACCTTGCCAAATCATACATAGCACTGGCATAGAGAATGTCAGGATAAGTAGCAAGTTGAAGCTCTATGTTTGGTGGTTTCACGGGTATTAGCTCAAGGCAGCAATTGTCAAGGATGTCTAAATAGTGCGACCAATCGGTGTTCAGTTGATTAACATCGATAGGGTTCCCTAGCAAGGTATCTATCGCCGCTTGACGCATGTCATCCATAAAGTGTTGCTGAAAATATCTATGGGAAAATGAAAGGATAGTGTCAAGGATCGTATGTACGTATAAGATATGTCAATACTTAAGCGATGATTTGGCTTAAAGAAAAAAAAAAGAAAAAAATAAAGAAAGAAAGAAAGAAGACATTAAGTGTTATTGATATCTAACGACGATAGTAATAGCCTGTAAGACTTTATTCGTTCTAAGAAATTACAACACCTAACAGCTTGTATGTTCGCGAGATATCTTGAATAATGGACGATAATCGTAAAATGATGTATCGTGTAGGATATGTGAATGAGAATGGTATTCTATTGCAATGTGACGAGTAGTATGTCATAATTCTGATCCAATTGTACCTGTTCGCAGAATTCATGCCATCTTTCATTAAACCGGTAAACTTTCTTTCCCCTGTTCTTGTGTAATCTCCCTATAAGTAATAAAATAAACTACTATCATAGAAGTTCAACCATCTTTAGATTTTGCTTATGGTTAATTCGTAATGGTTAGAGTAAAATCAACGTGTTTTCTACGTGAGGTACGAACCTTGAGGGCGTTTGTACCGGCATATTGTTTACTGATAATGTCGCCATTATTCGCCCAAAGCAACTGAAACGTTTGTCGGATATTTGTCGGTAACGTTCCATCCGGCGGTATTAGTCCTAGCTTTGAAAACTGCATTTCCATTACAGCTTTACCTAAAGCAGTTTGCACCACATTCGTTCTATCTAAACAATCTATGCAATTCACCCGAAACACTCCTTTCTGCATGCATATTGTGCCTTGCTTGTCGCGCCAACAGTACCCTATGTCTGACAATACCGCAGCTAATGCACTGACCAGGATAGACACATTTTCAAAATGCATCCCTCGACTGTGTTAGATATAAAAAAAAAAACATTAGCGATGATTTTTAATAATTCACTAGCTCAAATCTTTCTAACTGCTTACCAATATTCATGAAAATCGAAAGTTGTATATGTTATATCTGGATGATTATAATTTAGTACATGGTTACTATAGGCTTCCCAAATTATCTTCTCCTTGCCAGTTTGTTCTACAAGATTCATGATACAAATTGGGCCGTACAACCCTAGTTCTTCAGTAAAGTGTTTCTCGAACGCAATCTGCGTTTCTGCTTCATCTAGAGGATTGAAAATTATTATTGTTAACATTTAGATGAAATTTCTTGTTAGTTACCTCTATCTATTCGTGGTGGAGGCTTGTATTTATAGCCAGGTTGAGACCAGTATACAGGTACACTGCCTCGTACTTGGACAAAGGATACTTGGTGATCATGGTACCAAACTAATTGCTCTGTTTCTACATAGTTTGCGCATTTTCCTTCATCGTCCACACCACGTCGCTTATATCTTTATAATGGTAAAAAGATAAGATTTTTCCAAATAAATTACTCATTGGAATAATAAGAAATAAGAAAAATATATAACTACCTCGTTCCTGCACGAAATCTACTTCTCCTCGATATTATTGCCAAATTGAAAGTTTCATGGTGTGGCTGTTCATCGATGCCCACTTCTACTTTACACTTCTCTATTTGCACATATCCCTGAATAACTGGTAATATCCATGAGTTTGCTTTGTCTGTCTACAAAAATGAAATATTTTCTTAATAATAAATATGTAACAAAAACCAATTAAATTTAGAAGAATCCTAACTTTTAAATTAATTATATCCTGTAACATGTGTTTATTCCAAAAAAATCTATCATCTACTCTTTGCCAAAGTGGTTTATTCTGTTGTTCCTCATTCCACTGTGAGTCTGTGACACAAAGCCTCTGCAAGCTATTTGTGATATCACCAGTTTGACAGAAATAAAAGGAGTCGGTTTCGGTGAAAATCTTATTTAACTCCTCCAGGATTCTCTTCTCAAATCTCTCCTTGTCTTTAACAATGCTTCGTTTACTTACTGTGGATTTTACCTGCAAACATTCTTGTCAATGCAAAATCATCTTCCCTTGTATAAATGATTTCTTTATTTCTAGTTACCCATAGGGAAACCTACTTGAGATGTTGCAAGTGCAGCTGCGTGTTGAGTAGTATTTTTTATTGTGTTTGTAGCACTTTTAATAGTTCCCCATGTTTTGGCAAAGGCTGCCTTCTGTGGCACATCAAACAGGCCACCTTGACTTTTTTTCTTTGGCAAATTCTGATGCTTCTTACATGGCAGAAGTCCAATATCATTATTTTCACTGCCAAGATGCAAAAATGCAATTGATTTGACCTTATATATAATATGACCTCCATATAACTCTCCAGCTGGTGAAACTTCTTTGATCAACATTAAACGAGGTTCCAATACGCATGGTTGTTCTATTTTCCCTACAATTCCATAAAATATTCCAAGACATTCCAAATCTTTTGGAGATGCCCATTCCCAATCTGCAAATAATTTACAACTGGTAAAATTTCATGAAAATATCAATGCAAAGAGATACTTGGCTTGAAATAAAATATTATAATGCATTATTATGTTGCATTTAATTGCATTAATTAAACCATGACTTCCAGATGTTTATATAAATCATAATTTGTTGTTATTGTAAAATCTCATGCGCAGAACAGTCTTTAAGGTCTTTAAGGCTTTCTATCGCTTTGCATTATTTCAATAACGTTAATTTAATTATGGTGCAATATAAAACTCCCATTTCATCAAGTACTGTTACGAAATTGAATTCATAAATGAGAATTATGGGAAATCATTTCGATTAAGCTTCGTGGAGAATGAAAGGTGTTTTGAATAAGAACAGTGAACCGAGAATCGCAACGTGTATCGTACACTTGACAGGAATGTATGTATATACGCTCCTGTCAAATGAGAACCATGTACCCACCCGATTTAGCGGAAAACTCTCCGGTGTACTTGTCACACCATAGGCTGTGCCTCTCTTTCACAAAAATGAAATGCGTGTCGGTACGGAACAATTCCATGCTTCCGACTTTCTTACTGTACAACAATTTCTACGCAGCATGTGGAATGCCAACTCCCTGAACAAAAGTCCGCCTATAACGGACACTTCGCCATTTTGCTCGTACATGAGACTATATGAAACTGACAATAGACTGGTTTCGTCGACTATATTTTCGATCAGAGTAGATGGCGATTGGATAGGATATTAATTATATATACTTACTTGTCTATATATGTAACGTTATATTATGTTTCGAAAATTTCAGCTGATAAGAATTTCCAATAATCGATGCAAGCTTATAAAATCCAATGCCCTTTTATAATATAATAATATAGTTCGAGATGTTAAATTACTTAAATAGATTCTGAAAGCGTTATATAAAAAATTTCGCTACTTTGAATCATTTTTAGTATCTTTACTAATATCTGTTGTATTAGAAAGGAAAGTAAAAGTTTCACTGTTTGAAATACACAAGATTTATTTCGATAATCTGTGATTACATATTTTATATATGTTTCACAATAACTGATAAGTACATCATAAATACAAAGAAGCATGTGAAAATATGCAATTAACGATTAATCAAAGTATCAACGTATATTTTTCATGGAAGAATATTTAAAAGATGTCTTTCCTATATGCTGTGTTCATCTTCTGAACAAATTTAGATCATTGCCTATGAACTCGCGGGTTGGTCGATAGGTTTTAATTGAAATAGTTGAAATGTATCCTTTTTTTGTAATGAAAAAATTCGTAAGATTTGACAAGCATTTAACATTCTTAAAAAAAGAAAAAAAAAGTTCGATTACTCGGTTCTGCCTTCATTTCCTTCCTTAGTTTTCTTCTCTTCTTTGGTTTTGTCGATTATATATTCTTGCCATTTTCTGTGATTAAGTGTCTGAAAATCATCTACTTTAGCTATTAATTTTAGATATTGAGATAACTTTAATAATTCCCTATCTTTTCTTCTGGTGATGTGTGCGTGTCTGAATGGCTTTATCTTTAATCCCGATTGTGGATTCATAATAAAGTTCCTTCTGATATCGTCGAACATGATTGTGTTTTTTGCAGAGAACTGCTTGTATTTTCCCCAAATGATAGCAAGCGGTTTTGCTGTGATAGTACCATATTTTGATGTGTGAACATTGATCATAGCATTCGAGTCAAGATGACATGCTATTTTGTAATAAGGATTGCTGGAAACACCGAGCACTTTCATTTTTTCATTAATCCATTTCATACTAGTTGCTGACCAAATTACTATGTCATAATTTAGATAAGCCAGGGTTAAAAATTGATGTAGGAAGGGACGCATCAATTCCACACCACTTTCCGCTGTTGATTTGGGATCGAAAATGGTGTAGTCTATATCGAGCACCAGTAGTTTCTTTCCTTCTCTGAATGGATTTAATTCTACAAACCTGTACAAACCGATTCTACATTGGATTTGAAACAAGCACAGCTTAACATTCTCTATCTCTATCTCTTCCTCTTCAGTCTTAAAGTCATTAATTACATCAGGTAAGTCTTTTGGCGCGTGACACACTTTAGCAATGTCCTCTTCACGAGATCCCATCAACATTAGCTTGAATCCAGGCTTCATGCCCAAGTTCCTTAGGATCTCCTCATCTTGACATGCTTTGTCTGGTGAAAAGAAAGATTCTATAGACACTTGATGGAGTTTTAAACGACGTACAGTTAAACATGTCAAATCTAACATAACATGACATAATTTTAAATCAAAGCAGAAATTGCTTGAACGAATTTTATTTCAAAATTAACAACGAATCTCGAGTGATACATGTGATTTTATGTAGAGGAAACTGAAGGAAAGGAATGTCATGAAAACAGTTCAAAACATAACCTTTGGTTCGAAGGTTCAAAAGTTTTTGACGTTCCGGAAGGATGTTAGTTTCCTTGTATATTCGTTCTTTCAGACCGCGAACGGTATCATCCAGGTTCACGTCTGGAATTTCGATTCTTTTTCTGCCCCATACTATGATGATCTTCCCTACATTCTCCATTCTTTTTTTTTTTTTTAAATAATGACGCGACACCAGATGATGTATACTACGAAATAGTCGAACGAATACAACTCTACTAGATTCCGTGTATGTATAAGAAGGCCATTGTGAAGTATGATGCACACATTGTATCTTTGTGTCGATACTGTAACGTGAAGTTCATCTTTTACTTAGATGGCGGTACGGTGGCTAGATATGGTCACAAACGAGGTATAAAATAGACGTGACATACAATGCTGTTTCGTGTCCCACGTTTGAGGGTTACTCGTACCCGTTACTATTTTCATGTTACATGTAATATTATTACTGAAAATTCTCAACGCGAGAATTGATTGTAATTTTAATAAATAAATAAAAAAAAACATGTAATATTATCGATTCAGCATGTAGTACCACCATTGACTAAAAACAGGATAGACATTGCATGCAATGCAGAAAGGTGTCCACGGCCTAAAGGCTACGTAGCAAGAGAAGTTTTCGCGGGGAATACGACGCTTCACAACATAAGACATCGAGGACAGTTAGGTACCGAATAAAATACAACCTATTATACAGAGTGCAACTTGTACAAAATGTATGTATCCTTATAGCTTGCGAGTTATAAACAATAACCGAATTTTCAGGGGTCCATTTTACTTGCTGAAAGTTACTTTGATCATCGACGATCGACAACGACGAATTCTCATGGAAATTTTATAACATTTAATTTATATTAACTAAGACAGTGGTGTATGAACGATTCTATTGTCTTTTTATTCCAACGTGAGTATTTATTTGAAAATATATTTGATATATGTTTCATAATAGATAATTTCTTAATTATTTGGAATACTAAGACGTATGTATGAAATTATTCTCTTATTTCAAACGAATTTTTAACGGATTATCTCATCGTTTCAATGTAATCCGTGATATAGAATTCTTGATAATCTAACGATAGCTTCGTGTAGACAGAGTTTGAAACATAGAAATCTTAATAACAATAGCCTTAACTTATTTCGAGAGGTATCGTAACATTCGCTTATCGAATTCAAATCTTTTAGCTATATTATATGAATTTCTACAGTTAACGTCATATACTTGTAATGTTTTTCATAGAGGTGGCGCGCAGTTAGGCTCAAATATTTCAAAGTAACGTTTCGCGCGCGTTTGTCCAGTATTCTGGATAATTACATATCCCAAATAAAGTATCAACGTCTTCAGAAAGGAACATTTAGCGAAATTAAAAGAAAATCCGGCGTTTACGAAGGTGTTTAGTACAGTGTGCAACCTTTCTAGTGCTTGTCGGCACTTGTCTAGTGAGTCGGCAATTATTAGAACATCGTCCAAATAAACAACGACATACGAATAAGCGAGGTCGCCTAAGGCCTTGAGGATGGCCCTCTGAAAGACGGAGGGTGCATTTTTCAATCCAAACGGCATCGTTATGTATTCGTATTGACCGTCGGGGTATTAACGAACGCGGTATACTCTGTCGAGTCAGGGTGAATGGGAATTTGGTGAAACCCGCTGGCCATGTCCAGGGTGATAAAGTATCTCGCGTTTTGTAGTCTCGCGATTTGGTCTGCAATAAGGGGTAAGGGATACCGACCCGCGACCATGTTTTTGTTTAGCGCTCGGAAATCTACACACAATCTATCTGTGTCGTCCTTCTTTTTCACGAGTAACATGGGGCTCGCGAACGGCGAATTGCTAGGCCTTACGATCTTTGCTCTAATTAATTCGCCTATTCTTTCGCGTACTATCTTGCGCTCTTCCTCGCTAAGTCTGTAGGGGCTTCGTTGCACGGCGACATTAGGATCAATTAGCCGTATCTCTAGCTGACCCGTACTTACGCGAGTACGCGGGAATCCCGTAATGAATGATTTTTTGAAATTTTCGAGAACAGGAATCAGTCGATCTTTATCGTCACCAATCACGTCAGTGTCAACCTCGTTAATGTCGACCGCATCCTCCGCGACCTTACTACAGACATTGACCATCTTGGTCTTGCAAATATCAACGCTGTTTCGTGTAATGTTTACGTCAAAACCTTGGCTTAAAATTTCACGACCAACCATGATATCGTATTTTAAGTTGCTATCTGCAAGGACGTGAAAAGTTATCTCCAATGTAAAATCGTTAATATATACGGTGGACAAAATCTGAGATGTACTTTTAATACACGTATTTCCTATTCCTCCAGTACTCCTCCAGTACTACCGGAAAATTTCGAGGCTGCGGACTCTTTAATTAACGAACATTCGACTCCAGAATCGAAATAGAATGGGAACAACCCATCTCGCTGGCTTAATCTACCGGTTGGGGCTTTCACCACGCAGGCATCGACAAGATGCTTGTCCTCGGAACGATGTTTTCCTTCTCGCAGCAACTAGCAACGAGGCGCGATGTGTTCCGGCTTGTGGCACGATGCTTTTGGTGGTGCGGCTGGTCGGCTTTCCTCCGGGCGTCAGTGGTTCTTCTTTGGTTTCAACATCATCCTCTTGCTGGATTCAGATATCGTATGTCCGTAAGTACCACAGTGGCGGCACTTGTCCCGAAGGGCGG